CTTCATCACCAGTGAGTTCAACGAGGGCAGCAGCACTAGTTCCAAAGATTTTCTAGCTTCAAAGTTTTATTGTATTAGTTACCACAGAACCCTAGCTAAGTGTCAGAGCTGCAAGGAAAAAAAAAAAGTATGAACCTAAATTATGTAAGTACATTGAGTAAGCCAGAAATTGTACAGGTTCACCATTTTTTACATTTTGTTGTTACTCGCTGCTCTCAATCTGTAGAGACCATTGACATCTTCACAAAAGATACTGTCCAGTGCCTTGAGTGAGCTTTACAAACCTACAGAGATTCTGGACAACTCGTATGGGAAATGCAGGCATACTGTTGTCACCTATCACCACACCAAACAGCTTGCTTAGTGTACCATCACCAAAGAGTATCTCCAGGTAATAGCAGTTGAAAGTCTCTGCCCATAATGCTGAAACACATTACACATGGTGTAAAGGGAATGAAAAAAAACACTCTTTTTTTCCCCCACATCAAATTGCACCAGACCAACCATTCTAGGAGGTACACAAGAAGTAGTCTATTTGTACTGCTCTGTCACCTGCCTTTCTTCAATCAAGGATCCTGTTGCTTCTTTCTTTAATGAGAGCCTGATGACCAAGCCCAGACAACAGAAGTAACAGAAGTAAACTCAAGCGTGGCTTTCTTGGCTAATGCATTCATTCATTTTCAAGCTGTGGTTCTGGGATTCACAAGTCACTTTTTGCAGATTCTCAGAAGAGGACCCAAAAAAGCAGGTTCATACACACCATGAAACAATCATTTTCAGCATCATTATCTATGTGTGCTATCACTTCAGGTTTCCTTAGCTTTTCTTCTAAATCTTGTTTCCTTTTTTCAAGCATTTTCTCCTAACAGCGGTCGCTACATATCTTCTATCATTACCTTTGGTCTACGCAGCTCAAACTCTCATCAGTTCTGTGGTTTCCTCAAGATGTAGTTCAGTTGAAGAGAATAAACAGGAACAGCAGAAAGATGCTTACTGTATACTAACATTTCTTTCCATATACATCTAGGTCACATTCACGCAGGTATGTTTGTGTTTATGTTTCAGTTGTTTCCTCAGAACTTGTTAGGGACACTAAGTGGGCATTCCACTGCGGAGGTAGGCAGATGCTTTCAACAACTGTCAACTCAAGTAAAAAAATAAAAATATCTGATTACAGAAATGTGTTCGAAGCAGAAATGAGGAAAGTGCTAAAAGCTAGGCTGAGTGAATCCTGTACGAAGACCACATAGGAGCAGAGAGCAGTATGTGTCTGCAGTTGATGTGCAACACTTCAGTTAGTAGTTTAAACATGTCATTGGAAAATGCAGTGTTGGTTACCGACAAGGGATGACTGTAAATAATTTGTCGCTTCAGCTGTTAAGGCTTTGGTTTTTTTCTGGTTCTGCTCTTTCAATTCCTCTATCCACTCCCACATACTTCTATTTTTATATATAGCCAACACTACCAGATGTCACTTTGTCGTCTACCACCAATACAGCATCACACTTTTCTGATTAGGTTTTTGCTACTTCTAATCTTTAGGTTGTATCTAAGGTTTCTGGCATCAGGAAAACTAGGAAGTAAAGAAAGAAGTGTTAAAAAACAAAGTCTCAACTAAGACTCCATAAATGTAAACAGTTCTTACATCATGTTTTTCGTTTATATGATAAACTAAGCTAAATAAGCTAAGGGAAATGAAGCCATATATGTGATCTCTCTCTCCCCCTCTCTCAAAAAAGAGAGAAATAAAAGTTACAATTATTGAAAAGGTTACTGTTACCCTGCTACAGGACAGGATTTTGTGTGCTTTTAGCAATAGAAAATGTGTATTATTTGAAAGACTGATAGGGTTTGTGGAAGGTGGAAAAGGTGATTTGACTTTTTTCTTCTTTTTGCACTTTAAGACATGAATCCAGTGTTCTCAGTCCCAAAGAACAGTGCCTGTCAGAATGATATGTATCATATGTGTATGTTTAAATATAAAAAAATAAATATAAACAAGTCTGCAGATGGAAAGAGGAATTAGGGAAACATCTCTGGGCTGCAGAGGGATGCATGAATAAAAACTATTACAAGATGTCTTTTTCAAATATTCATCCAATTATCAATGCATAAATAACCAAATGAATGGCCCACTGGCTCAACATATGAAAATAATTCATTAAGACAATGATGCTTGAAGGGATAGGTTTATTACATCTCCTACACCTTTTTGTTTCTGAGCCGGTGACCAAAGCAATAATGAAAACCTTAATCCAGAAAACATTTACAAATTTAGTTTCAGGTTCTGAAATGAAAACCACAATGTATTTGTGCTGTTAATCTAAACGCTATTTGGTTCTTCTCCCTTCTCACACCCCAGGTGATTCTGTAACCTTGCAATGGCATTTTCCATACAGTGATGCTTAAAAAACTACACTAAACACAACATAATCCTAAATAATAATTAATTTTTAATTACATGGTATAGAATACCTTGCAAACAAAAGACACTCATTCAGATTTACTGACAGGTACTGTATTTTTTGGCAATGCTGGAACAAACCAAAAGAAAAAGCAAAGAATTATTATATAACCATGAGTGAAAGAAATGTCCATCTAAATGTAGAGGATTCATATGGCAAAACTTAAACTAAAGAAAAAATCCACACTTACAGCAGGTTTTTTTTTAATTCTTAGTGCAAGAAACATAACCAAGTTAATCACAGAGTCAGTACTAATTAAGAATATGGAAAATTCTCCTATACAGAGGTAGAGTCCAGTGCACAAGGCTAAAACGATATTCAATAGTCTAAACAAGACTGAGCCAGGTTTTACGGAATCCACTTTTTAAAGTATCAGACTGTATGTACATACATACAATAAATAGACTATACAATCTTTAAAGTAGTTTAATAAAATTCACAAAAATTATAGTAGATGCATTGAGATCTTTACATAATCCAAAGTTCATATCTCTATCACCCAGAAATGGATAAAACCAATATTCCTGATATCAAGTTAAATGGAAAATAGTTTAGCAAAGTGTTGACAAATCAAAATATTTTACATATTTTAAAGCCTAAATTTATACTTATAAAGGATGAATTTCAAATGCTCTGAAAATGTTCCTTTTGATACTATCTGTAAAGAGGTTTCAAATGCTGTAATATGCATTTGTATTGTTATAAACACTTTCCTTACATTCCGTGTTCAAGGGAAAAATAGACTTGGGATACTCACAGTTCTGATGCATTGGCACAACAAGAAGTGATGAGGACTGGATTATTTCAAAGGCCCAAGGGACATCAGGAGAATTTCTGGACAAAACCTTCATGTCTCAAACTACACAAATCACATCAGAAAGGTAACAGAAAACTGGTTGGTATTACTACTTCAATCCTGTCCGTGCCCCTCTGCCCGGAGGCATCCGATTAGCATTGCACTGCAAGTCAAGTGTGCATCTCTGGGCCCCTACGTTTGCTACAAGCCCATAGGGCTTAATAAAACAAATATGGAATCTTTATGGTTTACCACAGTAGTGCATAACTCAGGGACGTCTGTTGCCTTTTATTTCAGTGATAGTCACAAAGAAAGGCTTTCAGGGAACTGAGAGTTTTCAGCTATATCTTTCTAAATTGTGCAAAAAAACCCCCCAAAACAAAAACAGGAAAAAAAATCACACTGGGACATTATAAAGCAAATATGCTTATACTGACAAGTTATTTTATATAAAAGGTTCTTACAGTTTCCAAGGGGGCAACAGCCACAGTAAGAGGGAACTAGTAACAACCACAACAGAAGAGCTTAATAATCAGAGTTGAAAATCACGTTCACAGTTCAGTTACTTTTAACTTCTATAAGCACCTATGCTGAAAATCACGAGGGTTTGTATTTTAGCTTCAAAATCGAATCTACTTGTGACAAATACCTTGTTAAGATTTCCATTCTGCTCTTCTACAGGCCTTCTCACTGGAACAATTTTTTAAATTATTTTTTATTTTATACAAACAGACTCACTTTGATTTAAAGTAAACATATAAAAATTGAGAATATTGCTTGCAACAATGGACCTGGAGGTGAAGGAATGAACTAGTCAGGCCATACCCAAAAAAAAAAAAAAAAAAATATCTCCCTCAAAATGAATTCTGCTAAACGTCTAATGCTATGAAAATCTGCAAAAAGGATCACAAGATCTGTTGCAATTTTCAGAGATTTGGCCCAAGTCTTATCACCATCATCTGAATACTTTATATTAAGGAAAAATAAATGATTCCAAGAACTCAGGAAGGCACACGCACCAAAGTATACTATAAATAAAACACATCATGAAATTACGAAGGTCTTCTGATCCCTGTACACACTTTTGGTTCAGCACTATGGTCAAGTTCTCTCTTTTGAAATACAATAAAAGGCATACAAGAAATATAACATATGCATAATAATTATGAAGAATAATGCTAATAAGACAGCTTACAGAGAAAAGTGCAGTGAAAAAACCCAACACTATTTATTCAGGGGCTTGTGCTACTCTAAATACAGACTTCATATTTGCTGCTGTGCATTGGGAAGAATTTATCCTGGGAAGCAGCAATGAGGAATGCAAAAAACAAATGAACAACAAAAGATATTAAGAGAAATCTTTAGGATGGAACTCTCCCAGCTTCATTCCTCTAGTGCAGAGTCATCTGACTACATGGTTTGTTTTCATGCTGCCATTTCTCTTCATGAATATAGCATATTAGAAAATGGCACAGTTCTTAAATCTTTTTCTGCCTCTACTTCATTTTTTTACTTCTTCTTCCAAGCACCTGATTTGCTGTCTCCTCATAAAAAGGGTAAAGCTGTTATCGAACGTGAGAAAAAAATTGTTGCCCATCTTCTCTCCCAAACACTGATTTCTCCATTTCTCCTTCCACTAGGTATCTTACTCGTGTGCTACACAACGGGGAGGCACTGTAAAGGCAGCTTGACAGATTTAAAAATAAAAAAATCAAGTGTCTTTTTTCTTTATCCCCCCGCCCCCAGCCCACCCCCCAAAAAATGGATGGATGAAACAGTACGTCCGTAGGAATATTCCAGTCTCCTCTGTTAGGAGATAATAGCAGGGGACCATCTAACCACAGTCAGATTGTCAGCACTGACTGACCGTTTCTTTGCGGCTTTCCTGAAGTCCTTATATTTATCTTCACACAAGCGGGAAATGGCCTGTAAGACAAAAGAATGAAAAAACCTCAATTGCACTGACCACAGCTGTACAGGTAAAATAAACCAAACACAGACTTCTACATATATGTAGAATTACAAAAAGTCACTTAGTTAAGCAAAACACACGAAGAGCGTCTCCCAGATCCTCTTTCTCATTTCATTAATCTTAAAAGAAACAAAGACACTGACACTGCACTGCCCACCACAGCTGCTATTGAAGGACGCGGTGAGCATATTCGAAGCCTTTTCTTTACAGGTTAACCATCACAAACCTCCTCCAGGCAGCTGCCAACGCTTACCCACTGCTATAAGGTAACTCTTATATAGCACTTCATTGGTGAAAAACTGTGGAAAATTTAATAAAACAATTACAGAAATTGTAAATCTATTTGGAGAATTTATAAAGAGGACGGCTCTTACTTTTTTTATTTCCTAAAAAGTCTTGCAGTAATTGTATTTTTCTCTACTGATAAATGGTCTTGGCAGAACACTCACCCTGCTTTGCTTACAAAGCTGGTGTTTACTTGCCTTTCGGAAGGAGACGGTGATTTCTATGTGGACAGACTGTCTTACATGGTGCCAGTGGGACACAACTCATATTCAGAATAATTTGATTTGTATTAAAAATACATAGAAATGTTACAAACCTTTGAAAGGGAGACACAAACATTATTCAAATGTCGACTCCTATTATGCTAAACTAGAGTTAACGTTTCATGTTTCTTCTACTGTTTTTGGCCAAGTTTAAAACAAATATTTCTTATGGACTTCATATGCACAAATACACTGTGCCCTAAAATAGCATGTCCATTAGAGTTCATTTGGTTGGGACAGGCTATGGCTGGCATCAGTCGGGATGTTAACTCTGGCAATCAAATATGCAAAACTGCAGAGAAAGCTTACCGCAAGGAGTACTCAACGCCAAATTAAAAAATAAGATGAGCTAAAACAGTATTTTATTTACTCAGAAATGCTTAAGTGGTGTCTTAAGATAGGATGTTTAATAAGAAGTACTATACAAGCAAAACCAGTACAAGTTTTGATTATAAAACAAGGCAATATAAATAAGCAGCCTGACTCCACTGATCATCATTTTCTTTCTTGATCTTTCTATAGCACAGCAAGTTGTAGCAGTGAGGAGTCCTTTAATTTTAATAGTCCTGCAAAGACCAAAGGCAGGGATGACAGACGCACACAACTCATACATCCAAGAGCAAGTTAACCTAATGCTTTGGTCAAGTAATCCACAAAACATGGTTAAATTAAAAAAAAAACAAAAACAAAACAACACAAAACCTACCACCACCACCACCAAGAAACCAGTCACTACTTTTTAGTTAGAAACTGAATTTCCTTTTGTTAAGACCATTCTTGAACAGAGTTTTCCTTGCCAGTGCACATGAAGAGAACAATAGAATAAAATAATGCAAACATTCCCATTGCTTATTTGCTTAACTCACTTAAAACTGCTTAATAACATTTTACTTAATTTAACCAGGAACTCAACGGACTAAGAAAGTTTATGCAATTCAGTTGGATTTAAAATCCAACAGATGAAAAGCATTTAATCATGAAATAATGTGCCAATGCATGGCTTGGCAAATAGGTGTACTGAGGTGGAGCTCAGCTTCTTTCAGCTGCTGTATCAGGCTATTACCTTCGGCATCTAACAGCCAGAAGGTAATCAAGTCAAAATTGCCTGTTTCATGAAAAAAATTTCTGTTCTGGTACTTCAGTCAGATAAAATGAAATTTTGCTTGGAAGTGGCACTTAGTATTTGGCATCTCTAGTCTCTGCTGATTCATCATATAGATAAGAAACACACTGACTGCTGTTTAAAGCAATCCTGTAGCTAAAGATGACTCTTCATTTGCAAATAATTTACAAAATTGGCATTTGGCAAGTTAGTAGTCAACTTCAGCGTAACATATGGGGCAACAAAAGCTGAAAATTGTAAATATTTATTATTGTCCTTCAGTTAAAATAAATCCAAATAGCTTATAAACACTTTTCTGTCATCTGATATTTCTGTTGCTTTTATTGCTAGAAAAAGAAACCAATTTTTGACAGTTGCAAGGGACTATTTTGCATATGAAATCAAAACATTCTTAAAAATAGCAACACTATTCAATCATGTGAAATTTTGTTGGACTTGACTGTAATATCTGTAATCAGCTAGAAAAATGCATACATATATATTCTTCCATTACATATATGCATACAGAACTAGAAGTCAGTTCTTCTGCTGAATTATATGACTTTGTCCCTGGTGAAGGGGTGGGTAAGGAGAAAGAAGAGGGGAGAACGGCAGAAGTAGCAGCATAAATTTTGGCTGCATGCACATGTTTGTGCAGGGCAGCAAAGCAGCGGGGCAGGCTACGGCTTCACTGCTGGGACTGCACAAAGGCACGCAACTGCGAGTGCTGCAACACCCCAAAAATGGACAAACCAGAGAGCACTTAGCAGGGACAGACAACACTAGGTCTGGAAGAGTTATATATAATGAAAATGTAATAGAAAAAAAAAATCACTAGAACAACTAGAAGTTGTGATGATGGGGGTTCTCCTTAATTTATGGAGTATGAAAAGGATAGCAATCGTGTTACTCCTGACAAAAGAGCAGGGGGGTTTTGCTCTCCCTTTGCTTCTTGGCTAAGAGGCTTCTGAACATACAAAATACACAGGATTGCAATCATTCACCATGACAGTGAGAAGCTGGAGGGATACAAAAACCCTTTTCTACTTGTAACTTACATCTTTTTCTCCTCTTTTTTGTCTGTTTGATCTATGGGACTGTACCTCTTCAGGGTCAAGAAAACACAGCATGCAGTTCAAAGGGTTTGAACCATGTGCTCAAGAACTGTTCCAACGATAAAAAGCTGAGACAACATAGTCAGTTAAATTGGGAGCGCGCTAAAAAATGCTCTTACAAAATCTAGCCTTGAAATGAGCACAGTGCTAAAATCACAAGCAGAAATAGGGTAGATGTGTTTTGTGGACTTAGCCAAAGAGCAGAATCTGACTCATATTTAGCTCAGTGCACAGGAGAATAACCAGGTGCAAGAGTAGGAAATTACAAAATAGTGCATTAAGGTGGGATATCCAACAACCCTTTTGGCAGAAAAATCTCTCACATTAGAAAATAGTTTCTCAGGAGAAGAAAAGGAAGCCTTGACATTTGACATAATTAAAAGGAAGCAGAAAACACACTGTAACATATGCTGGTTGGAACAAACAGCATTGGCAAGTGGACAGACTGGATGATCTAATGAAAGGTTATTTGCCATTTTTAACTTGCACAATTCCATACAATGGGAAAGAAAAAAAAAGAGGGGTCATTGAAAATGGTTTCTGGCTACTAGGTGGACTGGTGTAGCAAATTCAGGACACTTATACACCACAGGCTGATGAAAAGTAACAAAAAATCACTTTCATTTAGTAATTTAAAAGACAAAGATGCTTCTTAAGTGTCAACTGTGGGAATAGTAAATAAGGAAAAACATCCACTGCAGATGCTCCAGAAAGCGATGTAATTTTTAACAAGTACTATAACCCCTTACAACACCTCAAAAATGGACCTTGTCCAGCATTTCCATTTGATGAGGAACAGTATTTACTAGCCTTGTCCTTGGTCGTCTTGAGGGTTTTTTTCATCACAGGTATGTCAACCTAATGATATCTGCAAAAATAGCAACGCAGATTCTGCCATGCCAGATCTAACACTCCTGCTTTAGATACATAAAATAGCTTGAAAATGAAAAAGTAGCAAAAATGTGTTATAGTATAACCACTTCTCTATGCAAGACCTTTTATGATCCCAAATGTCAGTACATAAGTTTTTTTAAATCTTGGGACTGAGCAAGGTCCTTTCAGTTTACCAGACAAGGCAAATCCTTCCACTGCATAGATATATTCGCTATGAGTCTGTTGTCTTTCATCACAGACTGCAGCTTTTCTCTCAGTATCAAAAATATCACAGCCTGTGTGGCACTACATCTACTCCACTTGACAATCCAGGCAATTAAAAACAGAAAACTCTGGGTTGAACAGCACATGAGAGACCTAGAGAAGTGCTGTAAATGCATTTTGATAACTCTTGGCAAGCTAAATGCTTAACTGTGCTCAAGAAACTAGGTTATAAATTACACTGTCAAGTAGTTTCAAGGGCACACTAATGACAACCAAGTATTGCCAGGGAACAAGGCTGTTCCCATCATGTTCCCTTCCTTCTGGCCACAGACCAGAGGCCAGGAGCTGGTAGACCAAGTTGGTTTCACAGCAGATACTCTTCCTCTTCCCTGAAGACATCCTCTTTGGCTAGCAGGGTTACTCTACAGCCAACTTCTGCCAGTAGCACAAAGCATCTCCAGCATGGGAAAAAATACAGCTTTATTTTAAAAATATTCCATTGTTTCTTTTTAAATGTGCCTTCTCTTTAGTGAGTACAGAGGAACCATTAGTCTAAGGGTAGGTTTAGACTAGATGTAAGGAAGAAATTTTTTACAATGAGGGTGGTGAAACCCTGGCACAGGTTGCCCAGAGAGCTGGTAGCTGCCCCATCCCTGGAAATATTCCGGGTCAGGTTGGACGGGGCTCTGAACAACCTGATCTAGTTGCAGATGTCCCTGCTCACTGCAGGGGGGTTGGACTAGATGGCCTTTAAAGGTCTCTTCCAACCCAAACTATTCTATGATTCTATTCTCTTGGGTATTTACAGTAATTTCTATTTTGTTTTCTTCTAAGGTTTTAGGAGCTGTTGCCATTACCTCCATTTGTAACCTGCTGTTATACATTGTGTGCGATACAGACTTACAGTGTTGGGAAACATTGTGTACTAAATTATTATCAATAAGTAATTCACTGAATTTTGATATACGTAATGGCACTTATATTCAAGACCCACATTTAATATCTCAGTAAACTAGCTCTTTTCATTTAAGATTACAATCCCAATGAATTTTCTTTTTTTTAATTCTCTTCAACAGAAACAAAATCTGATGCAAATCTACATCACAGAATTAAGTTACATTCTTACTAGAGTTATCTGTGAAATTTAGAAAGAATGAGAAATGCAACTTCAGTGAAATGTGCTTTGATTCCTTCTCCACCATTTTCTGTTCCCATTACAGTCACAAACGAGTCAATTAACCTTCCCATGCACCACTTCCACCCCCCAAAACATGTATAGTACTGCCTGCCTGTCTTAACAGGAGCACTAGGAATTTCAGAACAGGCAACGCTCACTCTAACCCACAGGCAAACAACGTCCAGTGCAAAGCTGTTCTATAATTAAGATATGCAGTGTTAAAAGCAGTTAGCATCTAATGACAAATTTCAAGATTGGTAACAAAATACGTACACACTCATGCAATAATGCCCTTATTTGAAAAACTGCATACCGGACAGCTCAAGAAAAATAGATTCCAGTCTTGCGAAGTGCCACAATTGGCTGATGATTTTAAATTCCTGCAGTGTCTGTGGGAATTCATAGTGCCCTGCATGCGACATAGAGCTTTCTGCACATGGTATATTCAGGTCTCATAAACATTCATGATTCATTCACTGAAGATGTGTGCTCATTTCTGTTTGCCCCTTATTGAGAAAAACACTACGGGAGATAACAGACTTGGATCCATGTGAAGTGGAGCAGTAGCAGATAACAAGCACATGGAATAGTTATTTTCAGCAATACTTGTTAATATTCTGTCCTTCAGGTGGATAATCAGTTAAGGAACTGAACAAACACAGAAAACCAGGCTGTGAACCGAGTCATTTTAAAATATGTGGGTACTTTCACAAGGCCAGTTCAGACAACTGGAACTGAAAAAGAAATGGAAAGCAAGACAAGGTATGAAGTAAACGGGGCCAAAAAACTGTCTCCATGTCCATGAATACCCAAAGCACAAACAAAACAGTTACGGAAATTGTGGTGTGTCATATTCCAACATCTGATGGGAGTATTTGGGAAGAGATGGGAGAAGGGAGAAACAACGTGAATATTCTAAATCCCCACACATATTCAACTCCGAGCAATCTAAAAAGAAAGTGTCTTACCTCAAGTTTATATGCCCTGTCCCTGCTGAGGGGCTCCAAAGGAAAACTCAGGTTATTTGCTTCTGCCAGGGAACGCAAATCAAAATAATACTTGGCATAAACACTGGAGGGAACATTAATATTGAACTGCAACAGCTCAAGAAACTGGCGTTCCAGCTCATTCCTGTAGAAAGAAGATAAATGTGAAAACATATTTCAGACTGTGCATTCTGAATGTAATTAACTTTAAATTGCAAATGGTATAAACCAAGTTCATTTCTTATTCCTGTCAGATGCAATTATACTAGCCTGAGGTTTGACCTAGTCTACCGAGTTCTATCGGCATATGTACGCCAATGAGGAATATGAAAGATGCTGCACCTTGCAGCTGCTGCTGTGACACCAATTAAATCCAGACACAAACTTTTGCTAGGGAAAGGGCATCTTTACCAGTTTAGTTAATACAATCTGGGAAAGAAAAGCTAGTAGGAAAAAAAACCAATAATCTTGTAGTTTCTGCTGTACCTCCACTAGGTGGATCTGCACACACAGCTATGCAAACACAAAATGCAGACATGCCCTAAATTTGTCAAACAACTCTCATAAATGCTGCAAATTACTCTAATGCCTAAATTACTGGAGAACTTATTTACTCTCTTCAGTCTTTCCTAATCAATCATTTAAAACTAGTCATGGGAAACCTGAATTTTCCAGCGTACTGTCTTAACTTTATGAACAGAATGAAGCAATTTTTCCCTAGCACGTGCAACCAAAATTCACAGTCGTGATCATTTGTTTCTCAGTACCTAAAACAAATGTGTTTATCAAAATACCTGACAGGAACAGAGGTCCTCTTTGAGCTCCCACACCGTAAAAACTTTGGTATAGCAATACACTAGTACCTACACCAGTACATTAAAAGGTATGTTAAGAAATAAGCAAATCAACAAAATTAAGGACTGGAAATTTTCATAAACTGCATGGTAACTAGACATCCTACATAATACTTATGCAGGGACATAGGATTTATTCAGAACAGTGTTTTCAAGATTTGAGAAATATAAAAAATGGGTGCTAAAAGCTGTATATGTTTGTTAAAGAGTATAGGGACTGCACCGCTGCGTTACCAGCAGGTATTGACTGACTGATACTGCATTTAAGTTACATTTTGACTGCACTGTAAATGTGCAAGGAATGTGCAGGCAGTTGGCAATAGAAGAGGAAGGATCTGAGGATAAAAAGAAAAAGTACTGGCACAGCAGTTTTTCAACACTGAATGATTTTTCTTCTCACTCTTTACTTTGACATCACTTTTACATCATAATCATTGTCCTTTCTTACCTTCTCTCTCTCTGCCAAAATTGTATGTTTACATAATGATAAATATTAATTAACAGTAAAAGACTATCTAAAAGCTGGATATGGACTCTCTGGCATGAATTTACACTGTTGAAGACTCTAGCTTTTAAAAAAATCCAAATTAAAAAAATTACATTTTAAGACATCTATCAATAAATACAGAAGATTATCTTTAAATGTCCTTTTATACTGCCAAGATTTTACTTTCTGCAAGCTCAGGCTAAATTAATGCTATGTTAAGGCTATGTTGATGGATAATATAAAGCCCATTTTAATGGAGAAAGATATTGGGTGTACCTTTTTTGAAGAGCACCCCCAAATCTTTAAGAACAACACGTAGCCTCAGATTCTTACTATCCCCCCCGCTCCCAGATTTGAAGGTTAAGTCAGCAGCCTAACTACAGCTGAGAAAAAACAAAAAATCACAGGTATTTCTTATTTGGGACTACTGGAGTTTAACTAACCACTGTACCCTTCTTCCCCCACACATCTACATTAGACTGCTTTAGCATATGCTTTCCAGTGGCCCCTCCTCAAATTCACACAGAAATTCAAGGTAATGCTACATACACGAGTACAGACACACTGCATTTCAGTCGTCCCAAGTCCTCTGTTAGCTTTTAGGCACAGTTCAATGTACTGCTGGTGACTTATAATGTTTTGCAAGATACACTTAATGTTGAATGATTCACAGCAGTTGAAGATTTTGACCTAGAGTTTTTCTGCCTTATTAGTATAGACAATGAAAGCCCCCATCTTGCGTAGGGCTGGGCACTTCAAAATCATAATACTGTCCTGTCACAACTACCTGAAAAATACGAATGAAAAAAAAAAGATCCACCACACTAGGGATAGGAGGAAAAAAAAAAATGGAAAAATTTGCACCAGGAATATAAACATCAGGTCAACAAGCACCAAAATTTTTGCTGGAGGATTCACAAGAAGCCCCAAACACAAAGCCCATGAGCCAGATCACCAAGTACCCTATAGAGAGCACAGGCTCCCCAAAGGCTTCTGGTTTTGCAGTTTGTGAGTACTCTAAAATCTTGAAGAACAGGTTAAGAAGCTGAGGATGTTGAGGACAAGGACTGATCACAGTTTGGCTTAGGGAATGTGAGGTACAGAAAGAGGGCTGATGTTAGCACGGGAGCATGGGTCTGCCATGTGAGTAATGGCGTTATATTGCTCAAGTGCAACTTCTAACAGTAGCACCATCATGCGTGTTCGTTAAAAACAATAAGCTCCTTTTTTCTTTCCTTTCACACCATCACAGTATGCCTCATCACCTGCCTTCAAAAAAAGCCCTGAGAATCTGCAATTTCAAAACTCGTATTTATAACCGTTCCTGATTAATACTGTCACACGGCACAGTCAAGCCTGTCAGTCTGCTTCAAGCTGTTCAGCACCCTGCTGCAGCTCACGTCCCAGCTTCAGAAATACTTTAAAAGCTCCCAGATTTGCCTTGGAGGAGGAGTAAATGAAGGGAGGCCCTTACAGCCACTGAATACCAGAAAGCATGAGAGCAGGATCAAGGAAAAAGTAGCTTAGCAAAATCATTCAGGAAATGCTCAAAATGTTCAAGGAAGCGTTATCAAATTGTTCTGCATGGAATAATATTGCACACAGAAATGTGAAGGGCCTGATTTTAGCTTTTTGCCCCCTTTACTTCCCCTTTTATTTTGGAAATCTCATTCTGTCTGGGTTATGTCAGAAAAGAAGTATCATTAACCATCCTTAAAAGTAGCTTACATATTTTAAAACAGATATTGAAATGGCATTATGTGGTATTTCCCATCTTGATTTTGAAATGTGAGTTTTCCCCAAAACTAACGAAAGTACCTACAGCATACCACAGCAATGCAAGCTTTATGCTTTTCACTTTGACTCAGGAAAAAAAACAACTTTATTACAAATCGCTTGTTAATAGAAGACGTAGAGATAACTTTTCTAATACTTGAGCAATGACAGCTACTCACAATTTAGAAGTCTTACATAGCAGTGCATGAGCACGCTTAATTTAAAGCAATCAGCTGATTCCTAGCATTCAACCTTTCCCTTACAGAGCATTTTTAGACCAGCTATAAATCTGACAAACAGAGAACTACTAAGAAACTAAGTTAGGGCTGCTTTAGCAAAAATGCTTGGCCTTTCACTGCTTTGAGATTGCAAATGGAGATTCAAAAAACATTCTGTCTGTATAAACATTTCTTCTCATCTATTTTTCTCCTTCCCTCTTTCCCAGAGCGCTTATCCACAACGAAGTCTCTTCAGCGGCTGCGAGCCTGACTTCAGTGAGTTAAAGCAGAGGCAAATCTATACACTTCTCATTACGGATACTTAGCTTAAAAGGGCTCCGAAACACACAGATACTGTACTAAACCATCTTCTAAGTAATTCTATTTTATTAGTCCTTACGAAAAAGGGGTGCACCAGCAGACTGAAGCTGTCTGTCACTCTCCGAAGCACACGCCACAGTGGCCTGTCAAGGCCCCGGGCCCCATCCCAGCGCCACTTCCACCCGCAGCCCTCCCGGCACCGCCGCGGCACGCACGCCAGCTCAGGCGAGGCCACCTCGGAAAGCGCGCGTGGCACGTGCCTTGGCCCTGACGTAGAGGCGGCGCAAACCCCAGGCACTTATATATGTAATACCTGCTAACCAACCAACCAAAAGAGGCACTAGAGTATTTAGTGACATGAGTATTCATTTTAGATTTTTAGATTCATTAAGATCTTAATTGCGTTTATTCTTATTACAGTTCTTTTTATTACTGTTGGAATATACTCTTTAATATGACTCGTGAGTATCCAGCCAGATATCACAACCCTCTATGCTGTTACAATATGCAATTCTTAAGAATGCCATCAAACAAAAAAAAAGGAAAAATTGAAATTTCTCTTCGCAAGTTAAAATATTAGGTTTTTAACATCTTGGAAACAAACTCAGCAGGATACAGGGGAGAAAAAAACAACAAAACCCCCCCCCCAAAGCACTAATTTTGAATAATGGCAATAAAGAAGTGGGTGATCATCTAAGGGTCGTTAGGAGTACAACAATGTTTTTCCCTGCTTTACATGTGGGTCTACTGTCAGTATGGAGAAGTAGCACAACAGTAAACTGTTGTGAACAGTTGCTGAAGTGAATACACGCAGGCTCACTGCATGTCGGGTTTTTTGTTAAGTCATACATTTAAATATTCTGCAGGTCTGTTTTCATTACCGTGCATGAACATCCAGTTGTAAAGTAGACTTCAACCAGAAATAAAAATAATTCATGTCTTCTATGTAAGCAACTGTCAAATAGGCCTCATGCCATCTATCAGCATCCACCATGTTTAGATAAAACGCAGATATACAAACTTCGTATGATTTATGAGAGAACTTCCCGACCCCCTTATACACACAGATCTTGGCATTCATTGACAAAGATAAACATACAGAACTCACATGTCTTCGACCGTGATATCTTTCAGGATCTGGCAGTAATCCACGTTCCACACTGCCTGGTCGTCCCAAACTTTGGATGCCAGTAGAATTGCACCCAGTACAATTCGCTTCCAGTTTGCTGGACAAATATCTATCTCTGCATAAGTTAAAAGTCTTTCAAGATATACCTGTGGAAACACATTAAAATCCAGACTTAATCTATTTTGCTATTAAGTAGAAATGAAAAAGAAAACTGTTCTCATAAACTCATTCCAGCAATTTTAAAACAGTAATCTGCTCTCAAGATGATTCTTTCATAAAAACTGTAGCTTTAAAAACATACATTAAGCCAAGCTCAAGACTGGATGCGATAAATTCATATTTTAGTTGGCCTTTGCCTTCTGATCGTATTGCCAGAAACAAAACTGTTACTTTTTCTATCCGTAACTGTTGCTAATATATTCACATGTTGGAATGGATTCAAATGATAGCTTAAATAAATTATTAAAATAACAATGTAAATAAATAAAATGCTAATTACTAACGTGGAAGACAAGGGTATGCTACCACTAGTAACTACTAGCTATCATACAAACAACCATGGCATCACCTCACGCTGGCCCCTCCTGGTGAGCCTGAGCGAAGAGGTTCTGTAGGCACCTATAGCTTGGATGGAGGAACAGTTACCACAGAAACAGCAAGCTGACCAGGGGAAAGGATGTGCTAAGAAGGTAACGCATAACAGCTTCCTCTGGACCTGCAAGCTCTGGAGGTGAGCAACACCTGTTGGACCTAGAGGAACCGATAAACTCAGGACGCCCTAGTCTGGCCCAATCTGACCAAGGCCACCAACACAGGCCAGCATCAGCAAGAGCTCACTTAGCCAAGACCCCATCCACGAGGGTGGTGGCTGCTATTTACAAAGACTGCAGGACACACACTACTACACACATCCGATCAAACAAGGCACCACGAGGGGCTTCCTGAACACCGAGGAAAAAGCTGCTGGGGTGGGTGCAGTACGGCCCTCTGCTTCTGAACACCGAGCTGGCCCGGCCCCCGACCGATGCTCCAGCCAGCGGAGCGTGGGCGAGCACGCGGGACCCACGGAGGCGAGTCAGTCGACGTGTTGTGTGAACAGCTACCCGCTGTCAGCAACAGCAGCTCGATTACACCGCGCAACGGACTGACAGGCGAAGAAAGAAATACTGGTTTCTAAGGAGTTCTACGTTCTAAGAAATACTGGTTGTGGGTGATCTGTGCACCCCCCACTCTACCCCTGCTAGGGAAAGGGAAATTGCAGCTACGAAGAGTTACGTGTGAGATGAACAAACCTGAATGCTTCTGTAATCCGCAACGTTTAAACATCTTATTGACTAGCTGCCAGAAGACACATAATAAATCTTCAGTTTGACTAAGTTAATGCCTATTAGCACCTAATCAAATAATACCTAAAGAATAGCTAAGATACAAAAAATTCAATGTAGGACACATGCTGGTAAGGATTTGAGGGGAAGGGGAAAGGAGGAGCATAGGCAGGAAACCTGAAAACCCTGAGCAGCTCACTTGTGATTTTCTGTAAGGTTTTGCACTCATAGAAGCACACAGAGTTCTTTCTGTGATTTCTGCTTCTTGAAAGGTCTAGCATTAGTACAAAATATTATTGAATTAAGAATAATGATTAATATATTTTATAGCTTGTTTATTTTTATGAGACCACAATAACATCAAGGCAAATTACACCCTACATAGTTGTCTTCATTAATTTTCACAATTATGATACATACAAGTAATTAGAGCTTGGCAACAAAATCAGCAAAAACAGCAGACAGCTGTTGTATAATTTAAAGTTTTACAGAAAAACTTATTTTATGAAAAAAAATATTCAGTATCTGAATACATGTACACAGATATTCAGCCCACAAAATGAACTCTGGCACGCTCTGCAGTATAAACGGCACACTGAGCAAGAAAGTCATGGGAAAAAACACAAAACACACAACATCAAACAACTTTTGTTCAAAGTGGCCACCGCAACGTATAAGTTCTTTGCTTCCTACACTTACTGAAGGAAAATGAAAGTTGAGTTACAGTGTTTGTAATGGTCACTAATACAGTCATATTACAATGAATTCATGTGTAGAAAGTTTTCTCTCCTCAACAGACCGCCTTTCTCAAGGAACAGATTTCTCAGTCCACTGTGAGGTTGTCTCAAACAGGCTTCACTCCACTCTTCTGACAATGACTTAAGGAAAATGAGATGCAGTCATTTCTTAAGTTAGTAAATTCTGTTCTGATTCAGAAGAAAACTTCTGTTATTGCCTTCACTGGCACCAAGGAAGTGAATTTGTTCTGCAGTTTCGTTTCTCACCTGTGGAACCACTTGCTGTGCACAAAAACAGCAGAACTTGAAACTGGAAGTGCTTCAACATGACAGACAGACATATTTACTACAACCAACAATTAACCCTGATATGCTACTCTACAGAAATGCAGGTTTGCATTTACTGAAGAATAACCTATTATTTGTATCTGGTAATAGAACTTACAACACCCTCCTCGCTGCATTGTGATAAAAAGCCATTAGGTGGTTGTTACTTGGGTTGCTATAGAACTCCTACAAGGGTCTACACTGACTGACAGAAACTAGCAGGAGATTTTATGAGATACTCTGATGACAGTACAATATGCATGCAAAATATTATACCTACCTGAAAGGCTGCATGTTTTATAAAAACAGAACAGTGCTTGGGATTCTGAAGTACCAGCATTTTGGTTTAAATTTTAAATACCTAAAGATACTCTTCTACAGGTGCTGAAGGCAATTTTTTTCTGCTCTAAGAAGAAATACATGGCTGCTAAGAAAACTGAAAACATTCCTTTAAGATATGTATTTTAAAATAACTCAATTTAAAACTTTTTTTAAGAGGGAATATGACTGATTTATAGATAATTGCTAAAACCCACAAAACGTTTAGAAAATATTTATCCCAAGTTTTGGGGACATCTGTACCATCAAATAAATACTGGACTAACTTTAAACAAGTAAAAACAACCGATTTATAAAAGGAGTGTACATGCAAAATGGTAGATACACAGAAAACTTATTTGGAAAAGCAGCATCACATTGATACTACCAATGCCAAAATAGTTTCAATGAATTTTTGCAATTATAGAATACTCAAAAAGTCTGAATAGTTACAGCATGTTGGATATTACAGACTGGTCAAATAAAACCAAAAAGTCTCAGTAAAAGACCTTTGCCTTTCTCACTCCCCAAAGGGTTCTCTATTTTTCTTGTATTAATGAGGAATTAACCATAATCTCTTGTTTTAGACACGTTGTTTAACTCAATCTACGTGTTCAGGCGCAAAAAGACAAGCATATTAAATGTTCAAAGGTCTCTGTGAAAACAAAGTTGTACTCAGCTGTAAAGTCAAGATCTTTACAACATGAGACCTCACAGATAAAACTGTTCATTTTTCAGGTTTTTTCCTAAAAAATAAGAAACATGTAGGTAGCAAGATATCATAAAACTAAAGCTGATTTTTTCAAGAGGCCAGATGCCAGACTCCTGAACACACCGTTTCTTCTTTAGCTATGATTTGCCCCTGCCTGCCATACTGACACTGAAGAAAAGCATAACATTATCTTATAATACTGTAAAACAAAACATCACTAATGGTTAAAAAAATTATTTTCCTTTATAAGGAAGGCAAAACACTATTTAAGTACAAAATTCCAAATTATGTGTCAAACCCATTATTAAAAACAGAGTTTGGACTTTTTAGTTAGGGGTATCACTCTGAAAAGATTTTGATGTATAAATTTGGTATTGGGAGTTTTGCCTGCGAAGGCTTTCCAAGTGGTGTATGAGTCCAAAATAAACAGCATAGTTTAAATGCTTTGAGAAACTAAAATTAAGTCCCTAAAAATAAGCAAGTGGTCACTCCAAGGAAAGGGTTCAAGACAGAAACTGAAAGAAAAGCGTATTAAGTGGGTGAGGTGGGAACAGCAGTGGAGACTCAAGAGACTCACCTCTCCTCTAAGTGGTCCAGGAATACTTATAAAACCACAGAAGCACAAAGCTCAGTAAAAAGGTGGCTCACCACAGACTGTCACCAGAGTCTGCATTACCCGATGGCTCTATTTAAAAGGCTGCCTTTTGCTTTCCAGGCAGCCTGTGTAAACAAACCCCTCACACACTACGGTACACAAACTTGTCCAACTTAGCAAGCAAAACTGCTCCTTGAATTACGAAAAAGCAGCATTCCCTGGAATTGTCCCCGGGAAGCAGAATACTTCTTTAAAACAATACACTGTGCAGGGAGCTTCCTAAGCAGAAAGCGTATGGAAGCCATAATATCATGCCACTCTTAAATTAGAAAATGAACTTCATTTGCTTTATATCAGTGCTGAATTTGACCCTTTGCTGTTAATGTAAACCTCTTAAATTTCAACTTCACACACACAGTTTTAGTAGATTTTGAATGAATACTCCACATCTATAGATACACAAGGCAGACAAAAATCAGAAAATAGAATTCTTTCTTATTTGCAGCTCTTGCTTAGAAAGAGACAGAAAAAAAGAAAAAAAAAAGAAAACCAAGTAAGGATTCTGTTGCGGGCTCAAATTCAGCGGCATTCAGAGAAGAAAAAGTAAACTGATAAGAACAGCTAAGAACGGTATCATAAGGAAAGACGTAAAGGATAACAATCCATAACAGATGAACTTAGACCTTGAGCAGATGAACATACACCTAAGTAAAAAGGGAGCATAAACTTGCTACTACCTTCCCACCAACACATACTTGAGAAATCAGCTTTAAAAATTAACTAGGAGCTTGATAAGACTATTCTTATACCACCTTCATTACCATATTTGAGCATCTTCAAGGATATGAATAATTGCTCTTGAGTCCTTGGTAATAACTTGGGCTTAACTCCAGACATACGGTTTGCTGGAGTGAGACTCTGTATCATCTTCTGATAAAACTGAAGATGATAAATACCTCGCCAGGACAAAGGTGCTTAGTGTGGCTTCTGGTTCCTTTCTTGAAAATGCCTTAAAAGAGAGCATTTCATTCTGTTCACTTGCTGTGGCCTTCCCAACTCAGTCTTGGGTTTTAAGTGTATGTGTTCAAGTAAGAGAAAACAGAAGAAAACCAAGACTTCTTGCAGCAAACAT